ATAACTAATATAAAAGTGGCCATGGATCGGACTGGTTAGACGAGACACCGACGGAGGGTGGGGGAGATATGGTGACGAGTAGTGAGGCCGGGGGCGGGGGCGGGAGGGTTCACGTGGGGCCCACACCCAGACATACAGATACAGACATGGTTTTCACATTCGGATTCCTCAAAGTGACCAAGTGCCCAGCATCCTATTGCACAAGCACGTGCCTCGCATTTCTCCTTTGGGTAACACTTTGTTGTCACTCTTTCCCTGCAGTTTTTTATGCCCTCCACATCAACTACTACTCCTCCTGCAATATATATATATATATATATATATATATATATATATATATATATATATATATATATATTTTCATTCATCAAACCATAATATTACAGAGAGAGAGAGAGAGAGAGAGAGAGAGAGAGAGAGAGAGTCCAATACCATAGACGAATAGTAAGACCAATAATAAGGTGACCATAAGGGATTGCTTGTCCATGTTGTTTCTGTGTGATGAGTGATACAATTGTGGTTATGAACTTAAGTGTTTTATAGCAGTTTTTTGGCAAATCGATAATGTGCATTAATTACGTCATCAACAGAAGAATATAAATTTAATTTTATTCTCATCTTGCTATCTAATGTCTGTCTGCACCAATTTACTCTTGTAATAATCTCAACACTGACCTTCGCATAATTACTTATCTTTTCCCACACCTAATTTTAGGTAATAACAAAAAAAAAAAAAAAGACGGAAAAGGAAAATGCCATATAATTATAAAGAAATGAATTTTAAATAAGTTTCAATCTAAATGGCAATTACCAAAATCATGCGCTGGCGCTTGGCCAAATTTTGCTTTTTGGTCCTAATAGATTTTATTATTTTCAATTTTGGTCTATGCCGAATTATTAATTACTGAAGGTGTAAATTTTAAAACACTGTATATTTTTTATTTCACATTTTTCATTTATAATTAAGAAGCAATTCAAATATCTTATTTAAAATATGGGCATATTACAAATAAGCCCATCAGTGGGAACTTATTCATAAAGAGATCCAGACAATATTCTCCTTTACCAATAAGTCCACACATGGTCCAGATTTATGTAAAGGACTAAAATAACCCCTCTTACTTTAATATGCTCCAATTTCATCCTTAACTTACTTTAACTTCAATTTGACCCCAACTTTCACAAATTATTCAATTTTGACCCAAAACTTTTTTTTTTCACAAATTTTTTTTTTTCAAAAACTTTTTTTTCCCGCCGGATTCCGGCGTTGACTTTTTTTTTTTTTCCTTCCGGATTTTTTTTCCGGATTCCGGCGTTGACCGGCGGTCAACGCCGGTCTCCGGCGTTGACTTTTTAAATTAATTTTTTTTTTTTTATTTTTTTTTTTCTTCCGGATTTTTTTTCCGGATTCCGGCGGTCAACGCCGGTCTCCGGCGTTGACTTTTTTTTTTTTTTTTTATTTTTATTTTTTATTTTTTTTTTTTCTGTAACTTTTTTTTCCGTTTAAACAGCAATATTGCTGTGAATGACAGTAATATTAACTATATTACTGTTAAACACAGTAAAATTAACTAAACTATAGTTTAACACATTGATATTGCTATATTAATCTCTAGCACATTAATATTAACACAACAAAATTCATTATTATTGTATAATAAAGTAATATTACTATGTTGTCCGTTCAACAAATGTAAACAAAATAAAAAAAACCAAAAGAATTAATATTACTGTGAGTGACAGTAATATTACTATAGCAACAGTTATATTACAATAGTAGACAGTATATTATTACGTACTTCGTGGTCCAGCTAGTTCCCATAGTATCGAGCACGCGGTTTGCCTTCTTTTTTTTTTTTTTTTTTTTTCTTTTTTTTTTTTCTTTTTTT